ATGTAGCTCTAGCTACGAGACCTATACACTACAACCAGTATGCTTACCGCGGAGGCAAATCTATGAAAACAGCCCTGATCACTGTTATTGACAGTGTCGAAAAAGCGCTGGAAAATAAAGAAATAGCTCTTTGTGCCTTTCTGGACATTGAGGCGTCTTTGACAGTAGCCCTACATCACTGCTGGTTGGGGGCCTGACCTCTAAAAATGTTGACTCCCACAACCATCAGGTAGGTTAATTCGATGCTCTCAAACAGAAAGAAAAAATAGAGCTGTTTCAAACTTCTATTGAGATTTCAACTACAAGAGGCTGTTCACAAGGTGGTGTTTTGTCACCCCTCCTTTGGACTCTTCTTCTTCTTCTTCTACCTAGCGTTTATCCCGGTTGCTCATCCCGCCCATCGCGGGAGAACCCAGGGTCCGCTTTCCTACACTTCCTCCTCCACTTTGCCCAGTCTTCGGCGTCCCTCGCAACTAGCCCATTGGCGCGCATGTCATCCTGCGCGACATCAAGCCAGCGTTTCTTGGGCCGTCCTCTACTCCTCGTGCCAGGTAGGATCATGTCCAGGCGTTTGTTTCCCACGTAGCTTGCCGGTCGTCGTAAGACGTGGCCGTACCAGCGGAGGCGACTTTCCTGCAGCTTGTCAGCAATCTCACGGACATGGAGGCTGCCGCGGATGTATGTATTCCGTACACGGTCTTTCCGCGTGACGCCACACATCTACCGCAGCATGTTCATCTCCGTGACATGCAACAACTGCCGGTGTCGCTCCAGGACCGGCCACGCCTCACTGCCGTACGTAAGGACAGGCCTTATGATGGTCTTATAGACCTGTCCCTTCAGCTTGACTGGCATTTTGGGGTCATAAATGACACCCGTCATCTCGCGCCATTTCGCCCAAGCCGCTGATATACGGGCCTTGATGTCGCGATTAATGTCCCCGGACGCATCAAGCACAGATTCGAGGTACCTGAAGTTGTCCGTACGCTCGATGGTGTCGTCGCCTATACGGAGAGACGTCAGATCTGTGCTGTTGCCTCTTTCTTTTTCTTTCCATTTTTGAGTGGCTTAGTGCCAATCACCGGGGCAACTGCCGTCTGACCACCGAACCTCTAGGACGAATCCCAGAGGAGTGGCACCGCCAGAGCCCTTTCCGTTGTCCAGCAGGTGCGCCACGTGCAGGCGGGGTTGGCTTGGGCTCCAAAATCTTAGCGGAGCGCCTTACACCCTCCTTTGAACTCTTGCGGTTGATTAATTATTGTACAAGATGGCAGATCTTCGAATTGACACACTGGGTTATGCTGATGAACCTTGTAATCATTGCGAGGGGCTTTTGTCAAATTACTTTATCATTAATCATACAAAGAGCCTAAACACCATAAACAACTAAAGCCATAAACTAAACACCATAAAAAACCATAAACAACTGATGCGAGGATAACAGTTAATCAGTTAAAGCTGATAAAACTGTTATTAGTGTTGTAGGCCCTTTACCAAAAAGAGACGGTTGGACAAATCAGTCACACTAAAATTTAATGGTAAAGAAGTACCATTATCCACTGAAATTAAGTACTCGGGAGTAATAATCGACCAAAAACTAACGTAGAACTCTCACCTTAGCAATGTCATAAGGCTAAATTTGATTTAGGTACGTGCAGTCGCATGAACTATCATCATCAAAGTCATCATTACAACGCTCTCCACAAGTACACTGCTGAATCTTGGCCTCCCCCAAGGAATGCCACAAAGCATGGTTCTGAGCTACCTGCATCCATCAACTTTATTGTCATTACTCCATCTAGTGGGGGGCCTTTCTACACTTCGAATACCGGCACGACGCTGTCATTCGAGAAATTTTCTTCGCCATTGGTTGTCAGTTCTTCAAGTTACATGGCCAACCTATTGCCACTTCAACTTACAATTTCGTAAACTATAATTGTTCCTAAATCTACGCGGAGTAAGTCATGTAAAAATCAAGTTAAAAAGAAGAGAACAAGTTTATTAAAAGTTGCTAAATGTAATTACCAAATTTATTAACTTAATCTTCCAATAAATTTTACGATTGAATGGACCCTGATAGCAATTTGAGAATGAATAATAGCGCTGCCCATCAATTACCAACGTCTACATTGTGGAAGCTAAAACGCGATATTCTAATTATAATTTGTCACAGTTCATTTTCACTTTAATTTTTATAGTCCTCAAACCCCTAAGTTTGACAACTACCGAACTTTTTTACGATTCTTTTTATTTTCTATCTTTAAAAGTCTATAAAGTGTTATACCTTTATTGTATTGCTTATTAGCTGTGTAGGCATTTCGATCGCGTATTACAACATTATGTACGCGTGGTAGTCGAAATTAACTTTATACGTAAAAAAGAAATTAATGTGATAATTTTTCTTCGTTCTTTGCAGTTTTATTAGATATATTTTCATTTTTATTTTTAAACATTGTATAATTTTAATATAATATAAAAATGCTTGATGCTAGAAAAAAACTATCAAAGCTTCAACAATGTTCTGTTCTAGATAAATCATTACGGACAGAACGACTAAATGTAAAATGATATTGCAACATGGATTAAGAAAGGAATATAACATCACCTTTGCAGTAGAATTAACCAATTTGTTTATGCACTTAATAAAGTAAAAAAATTTACAGACAAAAAAATTGCTGTTCTAACGTATCACGCTTACATAGAATCTTTACTACGTTATGGTGTTGTAATATGGGGCAATGGTACAGATAAACAGACATTATTTACTGCACAAAAGAAATGCATTAGAGCTATTGGTGGAATTGCACCGGATAAATCCTGCAAACCGATATTTAGGAGCCTAGGTTTGTTACCACTACCATCTCTGTATATCTACCAAGTTTGTTATTTTGTACACAAACATAATAATCTGTTTACAAAGGCATATGATATGAATATAAGACTAAAAAGAAATTTAAATAGACTTGTAGTAGATGCTGTACCGCAATCAAACAAATATAGTAAAAGCTGTTTAACCATGTATATTCGAATTTATAATGAAATACCAAATGAAATGAAATCGAATAATAATAATTTATTTAAAAAAGTTATTGACTTATCTCAATGAAAATCAATTTTATGATATCTAGATATGATAAAAATTAAAAACCTAAATTACAGGCAGGCGATGTCACGGGGAACAGCTAGTATCATATATATGTGTTTGATATTATTCCGGTAGGTTTTCTTTCTTTTTTTTTTTCTTTTTTCTAAACGTAACCTCCACACTATGATTTTTCCTGTATAGTGGGTGCAGTTTACAAACATAAATTGCACAAGGACAAACACCCAGACCCGAAACAATAATTTGTTGGTAATACATGTCTCTGTGGATAGTTTACCACCGGCGAATTTTCCGGACCGATACGACTTAGGGACCTTCAAGAAAAAAGCTTACTCCTTTCTAAGAGACCAGCAACGCATCTGCATTTCCCCTGGAATTGCAGTTCTTCATGGGTGGCGGTAGTCACTTACCATCAGGTGAGCTGTATGCTCTTTTGTCCTCGCTCCTATTAAAAGAAATACAAGTTCTTGTTCCGTGCGGGATTAGAACCCGCGATTTTTAGCGCTGCAACTCAAATGCTTAACGACGGAGCCGTCTCTTTCTCTTTCAGAGTTCTCTCTAATAACGTTTCATCATCATCATCATTACAGCCCTTCACAAGTCCACTGCTGAACATAGGCCTCCCCCAAAGAATGCCACAAAGCACGGTCCTGAGCCACCTGCATCCATCGACTTCCTGCATATCTTACCAGGTCGTCACTCCATCTAGTGGGGGGACGCCCTACACTTCGCCTGCCGGTACGAGGCTGCCACTCGAGAACGTTTAGTAGTTTGTATTTATTATTACTGTTATTATTCCAGAAAGCATTAAGTCCGTCCTTTCTTACCCTTTTACTAAGATAACATCTATAATGGACATATATAATGGATACACAAATCTATACAAGAAGCACGAGAGTAGAATAAAATATGTTGTATTCATTAAGAAGTATGCAAGCACTGAATTTAAATGGCTGGGTGAGAAATTTTATGACAAGAGAAAGGTGTGGTTTGCAAGATCATGTTGTAACAAGGATTAAGAAAAAAATGACTCAAGACGGAAGTTACGAAAAGAAAAAATTGCCAATAAATTGAAGATGGGGCAAATTAAGAGTACATTTAATCGCCGACCATGTATGTGTAGTCTCTGCCTACCCTTATAGGTGACAGGCCTGAGTATTTAGGGTTATGTTTGTTATAAATATATTTTTTCATAGCGAATAATGGGAGAAACAGCCCATTACACCTTTCTAAAAAGCCGGCAACGCATCTGCGATTCACCTGGTGTTGTGGTTGTTCATGGGCGCCGATAGTCACTTACCATCAGGTGAGCCGCATGCCAGTTTGCCTCCTCTTCTATAAAAAAAAAAACCATCCAATATTAGAATTATTTTATAGTTTCACTTAAAAACATACCTTGATAAAATGTTCTTTTATTTCTAAATTTAAAAAGTTAGCGTATTGTAACTCCCACCCTCCCTCAATCGCGCGCACTATACCCGCCGCCGTCGATCTCAGCACTACCATCCCCAGCACCACCATACTAGGCACGACACACGACTCTCGAAAATAAGACACGTGTTTCGCCTCTACACGAGGCATCCTCAGGTGAAGTAGACTCTGCGGAGGCTGGCCGCTAAGAACTCACTTAGCACTTACTGCTCATTGCTGTTTTCAGAAGTGGACTTATCGTGGACTATAATGATGATGAATTATGATTTTGATCCTGAATGATAGTTTTTCTCGCCATGTAATGTTATTTTAAGAAGAAAAGTTGGACTGGAAGTTGGAAACTGGAATTGAAGTGGAAAGTAAAAAATTATGCTTTCAAATGTGTTTATTACGTCCCTCATTTTTAATTAAGTAATCACAGCTCTTCTAATACTTGCACAATGATTGAATCTATACTATCTACTATCTAGCAATATGTTAACAACTCGTCTACCGTACAAGGCTTATCGCAGCACTCTGCGACAATCTGCCGCTTAGTCCTGCTGACGCTTTTTGCTTGATGTGGTGAGATCCATCGCCAACCTCGAGCTTCACTAGTGTATCTGTAGTCTGATCTCTTGACCTCAATAGATTTATCACAAAGGAATGCTAACGTCGACGCCAGTCTCCTACCACAGTAGGATTGTGCATATTCACACTTGCTATCAAATATTTGCAGCAGACATACAAAACACAAGAAAACAACTCCTGTTTGAAACTTCATGTTGTCGTCTTGTCACAACTTGATACAGTGGTTAATGGACTATCTGTTGCTCTTTTATAGGTGAGCCCTCTTATTCATATTCAATTATTCATATTGTGTAGGAATATGGAATAATGTAAATTAATTGCGCAGGTTTGTGTGGGTTATACGACCAAAATACTTGACGGCTTCGTGCCGCAGTGGCTTAGCAATAAGTTGCTGCGCTGGGGGACGCGGGTTCGAATCCCGCACGGAGCAAGTATTTGTATGGCCTACAAATAATTGTTCCGGGTCTGGATGTTTGTCCTTGTGAAATTTGTGTTTGTAAACTGCCTCCACGATACAGGAGAAAATCCTAGTGAGGAGGTATCGTTTTATATATATAAAAAAAAAACAACGACCGCATGGTTGTCAAGTAAAGAAAAATTACAGCCTACATACTATATACTGATAAGCGCAGTTATAGGGCTAGGAAGTGTCATTGCGAACTTGCGATGGTTTTTTTTCTAATTCATGGCTTCATTGAAGAAGTTATTTGATAGCTATCTTTTTCGTTGTCCATATTAATATATAAATATAATGTTTGGTTGTTTATATTTCATGCGCTACCATACCTTTCAACAGGTTGCGCTCAAATTTATAACATATTGCTTGCATTTGCTTGAAGGTTATAGGAATAGTACATTTAACTCTAACTAACTAGGTGGTACACGTAGCGTACCGTCTAATTTTTCATTTATCAATTCAACTTCAATAAATGTGTCATTATTTGTTATTGATCAATTAACTCATTAAATTTTAAAACAATATTTCCACAAATATTTCTTAATTAAGAAATAACTGTGGAAATATCGTTTAACCTCATCTTCGGGAAAATATCTTGACTACTATCCCAATTGATGGTAAGCGATGATGCAGCCGAAGATTAACAAAAACTTATACCTTGAAGACACCCACATTATTGAAGATATAACATTTTAAAGAAACAAAATAGTATAATTATGTATAATTAATAACTTAGCGAATAAATGAGATCCGAATAAAAAATATATCTTTAGTAATCGTTTCATTTAGATTTTACATTTTAGAACACGCACGAATATTGACGCTAGTCACCTGATTTTAAATTACACTGCTGGTTTTATGTTAAAATATTTTCATGATATATGTGTAAGGTAGTAGAAATAACTAATTTTATACATGAAAATATATATATTTTTTAATGTGATATATCTATTGGTCTGCCTTGGCAGTAAAACTGACTCGTATGCCGTGACGGAAAACGGCATGACGCTCACTTTTTGCCGTCATGCTCCCTCAGTGCCATCGTCGTCGACACCCATGTGTGTGCGTGCTCGTAAATAAATACTTTGATGCTTCTCTGTGTGCACTGTGTATTCTTTTCGAATCGACTATAGTATACTTGACGAATTCACGGTTAGTGTACACTTTGTATTTATTTTTAATATTATTGTTTGAAATTGAAAGAAAATTGTAAAGTGCTTTAAAGGTTGCAAATCAGTGACAATTATACTATTATAATTAGATTATTAAAAATAATTATTAAGTTTACTAACTCAACTCTATGTTTTTTTAATTTATTTACTCCATATTCCTTTATTGTGTAGCGCCATTTTCTAGAAAAATAACAAAATTCAATATTTTGACGTGACAACGTCTTCTAATTCGATGAAGCTGGCTGCACGCACGAAAAAACATGACTCATGCGGCGTTATCTCGCTCTGAGGCGTTCCATTTAAGGCGTGAAGTGCAAGCGAGAGCGCGGAACGAGCGACAAAGAGGCACAATCGGCGTTGTCACGTTCAACTATCGTCAGTAAACCGACTTTACAGGCAACCGATTTTTTGTATATTCCGTATGATGCACACAAAATTGTTGCAACATATTAACGCAAAATATTCTATTAAGGTCGTTCTTGGTAGGTTCATCAAAAATTATTCATTCTAAACAATAGAGATAATGATACCATCATCGCTATTTCTTTGGGGGTCACCATACATTTTAAGCCTCACAATCCTGCAGATTGAATTTCAGATAAGGCGATTAGTCTCAACGGAGTCTAGCTATCTCACACACAAGCACAGGGGCACTAAACTTCTTACCTCTCTGGACCAATGGCTTTACGTGCTTTGCGAGGCGCGTGGGTGAGACACTGTCAATTTCATGACTGAATGTTTGAACTGAGAATTTTTTGGTAGAAAAACTTAATTTATGTTTATATGAAGATTTTAACATTTTTACGTGGACGAACCATGCTACAGATATATTATGGTTATAGCACAAAGACCCTTTTTACTGAATATAAGACTTTCCATCTTAATCCTCAGAGGTAACAACAAATCTGCATGTTAATTCTTAATAGAGAATAAATTAAGATTTGTATGGACCACAGCAACCACTTACAATCAGGTGCTTGCCATCCGTATTCTATGAAAAAAAAACTGATATTTGGCAAGAACCCAGATTCGAACCTGTGATCATGATCTATTATCAGCAGTCGCGTTACTAAAGAGTAGACCAAAGGTGTCCTACACTATGCTTACCGGTTACGAGGCTTCCACTCTAGAACCTTTTTCTTTTCAATTCACAATAAAAAAAAATTAAAAAAACTTTGCCTTCCTTTCTATGCAATAAACTGAATACAAAACTTGTAGGAATCTGTAAAGAAGAAAATATTGTAGTGAAAATATTTCTTAAAATGCTAGGGTTCGAAAGAAAAGTTTGAGCAGGACAAATATTGGGACGGATTCGCCCGCATCTTGAGACCACAACTTGTTTACTTTTGTTTTTATATTTTAGCAGCAATTCCTCGAAGATAACTTTATTTCTCATTCATTAATTAAGATTCTCATATGAAAGTTGATGTGGTAGCACGTGGACATACATCTTATTAATTTCATTATTAATTATCAAAATTCTATAGGTGATAAACGAGCACACCGTCCACCTGATAATCAATGTAGCTTTTTGTAGCTATTTTGTAGCTTTTGCTGTCGCACGCATGGGCCAGCTCGAACCGGGGTGGTACCACGACCTCACAGCCTCAGAGTATCCACGTACAAACTACTTCACTCCTGAGCGTGGGTGCACAGGCTGCCTCGCGTATTCTGGGGGGGGGGGGGGGGGGGGGCAAAATTCCGCTCGCGACTAATGCCGTTCGGGGCAATGCAACCAAGGCGACCCCTGTCACGCTATCCGTGAATTTTTGCAACATTAACGCTGTCCATTACCATCTAGAGACGGCGAAGCCGGCCTTGCTCTTTTTAACCGAGACACAGGTGTCCTCTCCGGCTGATACTTCATATCTCTCCTACCCGGGGTACAAATTGGAACACTCCTTTGTGCCACGGGCTGGAGTTTGCGTTTACGTCAGAGAGGACATCTGTTTTCGACGTCTCGGCAGTCTTGAAGGTACGGACCTGTCCATCCTATGGCTGCGCGTATACAGCGACGACCATCCACGCGTCTACGGGTGCCTCTATAAGTCCCATAGCGGTAATGCCGACACAGACCGACTCATCGACCACGTCCAAATGGCTGCAGACTCCGTGCTACAACAGGTCCCATCCGCAGAGATCATGATACTCGGTGATTTTAACGCCCACCACGCTGAATGGCTTGGTTCTCGTTTAACTGATCATGCGGGTAAATCTGTCTATGACTCTGCTTTGGCATATAGTCTAACACAACTGGTTACTTCGCCTACGCGGATTCCAGATGTGGAAGACCATGTACCTTCCCTGTTGGACCTTCTGCTGAACTCTCATCCGGACGGATATCAGGTCTCCGTCGATGCCCCTCTGGGCTCTTCGGACCATTGTCTGATCCGGAGTACGGTGCCACTCACGCTCCAATCGCAGTCGCGATCTGCAGCTTGCCGCCGTGTTTGGCACTATAGGTCAGCTGATTGGGACGGGATGCGGTCTTTTTTTGCATCCTACCCTTGGGGGCGGGTTTGCTTCTCGCCTGAAGATCCCAGCGTTGTTGCCGATTCTGTTGCTGATGTGGTACTTCAGGGTATGGAACTTTTTATTCCATCCTCTGTGGTGCCCATCGGAGGCAGATCCCAGCCATGGTTTGGTCGCTTCTGTAAAATAGCATCACGCTATAAGCAGGAGTGCTACCGGGCCTGGGCTGACGTCTCGGGATGTAAACACCAGCGCACTTAAAAAGAAGTATAATTCCGCCTCCAGGTCCTTCAAAAGCGTCATTGCCAAGGCAAGGTCTGAGCACATTGGCAGAATTGGCGAGAAGCTAGTTCGCCTTCCTTCGGGAACCCGTGCATTCTGGTCTCTCGCCAAGGCTGTCCAAGGGAACTTCTGTCAGCCATCTCTTCCATCTCTGCACAAGGAGGACGACTCACTGGCCCATTCCGCAAAGGAGAAAGCCGATGTGTTAAGCTCTCTTTTTGCGTCCAATTCGACTCTAGATGACGGGGGGATTACACCGCCGACCATCCCGCGATGTGAATGCTCCATGCCGGATTAGCGGTTTACACAGCGCTCGGTTCGCAAAGCACTCTTCTCCCTTTACGTCAGCAAGTCGAGTGGGCCCGATGGAGTCCCTCCCATTGTGCTGAAAACGTGTGCTCCGGAGTTGGCACCGGTTTGAACGCGTCTTTTCCGGTACTCCTACTCCCAAGGCGTAGTCCCGAATTCATGGAAGACAGCTTTGATCCACCAGATCCCTAAAAAAGGCGACCGCTCAGACCCGTCCAACTACAGGCCTATTGCCATCACCTTCTTGTTCTCCAAAATAATGGAATCCATTATAAACTGCCAGCTCATGAGGTACCTTGAGGATCACCAGCTGATTAGTGACCGCCAGTACGGTTTTCGTCGAGGTCGATCAGCATCAGATCTTCTAGTCTATCTGACTCATAGATGGGCGGAGGCAGTAGAGTCCAAGGGGGAGGCATTGGCCGTTAGTTTGGACATAGCGAAGGCCTTCGATCGGGTCTGGCACAAAGCGCTTCTTTTGAAGCTTCCGTCCTATGGGCT